TGCTAGGTGTGCAAGTTCACCCGGAGGTGGTATTTATTGTGTCGCTTCATCTGTGATGGTTTTTATTTTCTCTTTCCATGGGGATTGGGCTTGACGGGAGTTTGGGGGATGCGAAGGATTATCCGTGCTCTGCTGGATGCAAAAACTGCCCAGATTTAAGTTAGTTCTTTTCTCTTGGGAAAAGACATTCCGGGTTGGTCTTATGTGTGTTGTGTGTGTGTTTACATTTGCCTTCGGTGAGCAAACTGCGAATTGGATGGATGAATTCGATGGGCCCATGTAATTTGAATCGATCCAGAAGAAGTCAGCAAAAAAATAGGAACGCAAAGAAATCTTCAATTGAATTACGGGACATGTCTGCTTCTTATACCCTAGAGAATTAGTGTGTCGTAGGTCTACCGGCGGGGTTGTACTTCGACAGGCAGATGTACGCTTTTCGGTGTATATAGGACGGACTTGCATAGAAATAGACCAAAGCTGGGCTTGTATGTAACTTTCGATCTACCCAAGGTGCTATAGACTTCACCCTGTTTAAGTATATACTAATGATAAGATAGCCAAAGTTGCAAAATTTTGGCCGGGGTATGCATGGATGAGAAAATGAGAGGCGACGACAGATCCACTGCGTCAACAGCCTCTCTCCACCCATGACCCCTCGCTGTGACGAAATACATGCTTCTACAGCTCACCCTCGCCATGGCGGTTCCGCCCCGACATGGTGAATTCTTTCGCGGCGGACTCGGCGCTCTGCGCCCAAACTGCCAAGGTCTCGTTATCAACATCGTCGAGGAAAGATAGGCCAGGCATGGCCTTTCCACCACAGGCACGCTCCAATGCCAGGAAAGCAAAATGGCCACCAATGACAGGCCGAGCGAAGAAGTTCGGACCAGGGAAGCCCCCGTCACCCTCCGTGTTGTGCAAGTCTGTGAATGGACGATCGGTGGTGGTCTCGTTGACCCACTGGGCGACAGACTCAAGGATCTCTGTACGCACAGTCTTGGAGGCGACAGCCATTGAAAAGAACTCCCAGTCGGTCTTGGTGTACATGTGGCGGCTGTCGAGGGGCAGGCCGTACTTCTGACGCACATAGTGATACCAGAGAGACTGCTTCTGGTAGATGTGGCGCGGAACAAAGCCAGGTGAATCTGTATCAGTATTCTCTAGGTGGAAGCAAAGCTGGGCATCGGCGTAGAGGTTGTAGATCGTTGTCCAAGAGCCATACCAGTCATAGGCAAGCTTGGCATGCGAGCCATCGCGGGACATGCCAAACTCCTCCCATTTATCGATGTATTCACTGGCGATTTTCTGCAGGTGTAGTTAGTCAATCCGTCAGGACACACAGATAAAAGAAGATTCATACCTTGAAATAAGCAGCGTCGGCATCGTGACCGGCTACCTCGGCGATCTTGCTCATGGCGTTGATGCCCACAATTCCCTTGAGAGCCAGATTAGTCTGGAGAGCCAGCCAGCCTGCAAAGTCATCGGTAGAAACTGTTCTCAAAATCAGCTTTGATGAATACACCATCAGAAAATACAGAGAAATTGTCCTTACGTTGGTTAGCAGGCTCAAGAGAGAACTCCACCAGATATCCGGTCCACTGTCTCCAAAGACCATAGCTCCGCTTCACCCATTTCTCAGCCTGGTGCTGGCCCTTACTACCGCCACCCCATTTGCTATCTTGGTGGGCAATTCCAGACACTACCTGTAGATCGCGAAGAGGGAACAGCCCGGAAGTCTCGCCTTTAGAGCTTGATGAGGGCAGCCCCTGTGTTGACCAAATGGAGGAGGCCGCGGTAGGGTCTTCATAGCGAAGCGAGTTCACGACAGCCAACCCCATGATGAGGATATTACCACACTCTTCGACCGGCATGTATTCGTCCTTCCCGTCGGGATGTCCTGTGGCATTGGGGAAGTGTGTACCCAAGTCGTGCATTGCATACTTATTGGGATATTGTCCGCTCAGCATATGCTCGATCAGCGGCTCCAAAAGGTATGCCAACCACCGGGGGTTCGTGTACAGGAAGAAAGGGAAGGCGGGGAAGATGACGTCGATAGTTTGGAAGTTGCCATTTGAAGAGATCTCCTTTAGGAACAGGATCGGGTCATCCGGGGTCCCTGAAAAGGTAGTGGCACCCATGACCTGCCGCGCACTAAGGGCAACAATGTCAACATAGTCATCAGCTCCCGACAAGTACGCGTCATCTGCCACTTGCTGCGAGTAATTTGATGCTAGAGAACTAGCTGCAGCGTAGTCCCTGTAATGGAAATTCAGGAGCTCCTCGGTTGTCGGGTACCAGGCTTCCCACAAGGGTCGCATCATGGTGAGCCCACGAGATGATGCATACTGAACAATGGGAACTTGGGTAAAAGCGAGAGTAAAGGTGACACTGTCGTCGTAAATTTTAGACGAATGGCCAAGGTGGAAAGACTTGGAGAACGCAAAAACCGGCGCTCGATCCCGAATAGCGCGGAATTTATTATCGTTGGCGTTTCGCAGAGTTCCAGAGCTAGCGAAGCCTCGGCGCACATCAGGCGCATATCCAGACTGAAATTTAGCGTCCTGTGTTGTGATTAGCTATAGACCAGTTCTTTTGACAAATAGGACATACACATGGTCCAGTGAAATGAAGAGTGCCCCATTCCGCACGGTCGCGAATCTCTGTGAGAAGAAGCTCGTTCTCCCTCTGCACTTGCCATCGCTTAAGGGTAAGCTCGTCGTGCTCGGTCTTCAAATTATCAATTCCCCACTTGATCTTGCTACCAGTGTCTCCGCTGACCCACCGGCCGTCAATATCCATATAGATGCTGAGGTCGACATCGCCTTGGACATCGATTGTGACATAAGAGGCCGGGATTGACTGACGTAGAGTTGAAGTCGGTGTAATGGGTGACAGGAATGAAACTGTAATGTTGAGAGGGTCTCCGGTACCAGTATCAATGTGGTAGGTCAGGTTGGTCGTTGAAGCATCGTAGTTCAGGCCAAGGTATTTGGGGAAGATGGTCTTATAGCTGCAGTTTGTTAGTATCCAAATGCCTCGCAAACGAGTGCTTTTAAATCCGTACCCTGATTTATCATCCAAGAATTCATGAGGCTTGCCAAGTAGAGGGTAGACGGCTTTCTGACTTGGAAGGTGAGCCATCAAAGAAAGGCCCACCTCCTCTCCAGTGTAGAACATGGGCCATTTTGACCAAGGCGCATCCCGGGCATTGGCAAGCCAGGTGCTGAGATATGGATTTCGTACGATCAAGGGGATTACGGGTGGAGTGAGCGTGGATGCGATGCTAACCGCTGCCTGGAGGACAGCAGCCAGGACCACAAGTGACAGCTGCATGGTCACACTCTCGAAGGTGACACACAGTTCCAATATAATTTGAAATAACAATAGTAGCTGAGATTGTGTAACGAATGTGCAACTAAGAGAGTAGCAATGTTGGAGAAGAGAGGGTCAAGGGAGGAGAGAGGAGAGAATGTTGGAATATGAATGCGGGGAAGGACCAAGGATCAACGTTGGAAGTCATCCCTTGGCTTTGGGAGTTGATACTGAGATGAGTTACGAGCTTTCAAGCTGCTCTGAGCATTTTCTTCTTTCTTCTTTATCCTATTTCTCCTTCACAGTATAATAGAAGTCAGCTCTAGAGGTTCTCCTCAGCACCGATGATGTCATGCGGAGAGAGCACTAGGTATTTAATCACTTGCATACATCCAGGTAGGTACTATGCCTACTATGAATATTATGGATATTATATATATGGCATGTCTAGTATCTTCCATTAGATTATAACTAAAACATGATCGAAAACCAGTCAAATACAGCAGTGGTAGGTTGAACGAAAAGCGTGGTTATCTCGATCTATACTCGCATGAAGCCTGAGAAACCAGGTCAACATCCACCTCATTGTATTCTGTCTACATATTCACCAGAAAGGGGACATAGCTTGATAGGAAAAGCAAGTTTAATTCGCCGCCGTATTCTGGCATCCGTTGATGCTGTCTGTCTCGATTTTCTAAGCTTGGTTATACTATATGGATTGTCTACCTGTTAGATACAATATGTTAGTTATATAGACCACTAAATCGATATTACCTAGAGCATCACCTTGACTGGGGGTCTGTACCGGATTTTTTTAAAAAAAGGAAAAAAGCTAGTCATGCACCTGGATGCATGGATTCCATAATGTCATTGATCACAAAGGCATTGTTCATGATATACCGCAGGTCTGCCATAGGCTATTTCGTTTTTCCCAACTAACTGTATTATTACATACATGCTTATCCATTTGATACTCCCAAGTCTCTTATTCAAGTCAAGCATAAATAACCGTTCCTGTTTTTCTCCTGGAATTTAATCGTCGACCGTGCTCGTGGGGGTCTCTAACCCTTGTGGATCCAGGACACGCAAAGCACTAGACGCGCCCCAGGCCGGGGTTGAGCCACTCGGTGCTTGACAGTATTGTAATCTTCAAAGTGCTGAAAAAGCAAATCGGAACAATAGGACATATGAAAGAGACTCTAAAGACATTGAATCTTCAATATCAAAAGGTCTTATATGGGGACATCGAAAAGTCAACTTTATACGCGTCTATAGAATAACATATAGCAGTAAAATAAAACATTCTAAACCGAACTAATAGTATCAAAATATCAAAGTATCAAAACAATTGCAATGTCAAAATCGAAATCCAAACGAAATTCCAAACGCGTGCTCAACACGCCCGTGTGGAGCCCCAGTCCCGTGCTCTATACAAGGCTAGTAAGTTAAGTAGACGCGAACGCGCGAGACCCTTTTTCTTTTCCCAGTTCGACTTTCGACTTTCTACCTTCTATCCTATACCGTCTTCTCAAGTTTCAACTTCCAATTGTGCAAATCTCTCTACATATCGCATTGGTCCGCGTCAACATCACACTTCCCCGCAGCACTTCCGGATTCTACTCTCTTGACCTTCTATTCCTCTCAATCCTCCCCTCAAACCCACCTGGGGACTACTCTAAAGCTCCATAATGAATTCGACGTCAGTGCAATTCAGTCCCGTTAAGGACGGGCGACGAATTCTCGGCGAGAAAGACTCAAACGCGTGTCTGTCCCCCGCCACACACGCCAAACCCTCATTCCCGGCCATTGGGACCCCAGTCAAGCGGATGTCGATTGCTACCTCACCAAAGAAGCTCCTCCCATCTCCCATATTTGCAGGCCAAAAACGGACACGGGATCAAGCGGATGAGATGGAAGAAGACCTCGGACACGTGCAGGCGCGGGAATGCTCTCCGCAGCCAGGCGTCCAATCTCCTGTCAATGATGATATACAAAGCCAGGTAAGCTCTTGCGAGACAGACAAAGAAGTTCCGAGAATATTCAAATCAAGGCTAACCCTATAATGCGCGAATAATAGATCAACCAAACCCCCACACCACAAAACTCACAACCTGAACGCGACCAAACGCAAGATCTAATGGACACCCACCAATCTCTCAATGTGCCCAGCACACCCGAGCAAGGAACGCGTAACATTACCTCAGACTCTGACGCGCGCAAAATGTTTATCCAACAAGTATGCGAAGCATGATATCAATATCAGACACCTTCCCCAGCGGGCAGTTTCTAACAATTGAACAGAAAGCAAGCCTCCTCCGATCAAGACTACAGAGCGCGATGCGCAATGTGACAGACCACCAATTCGACCGCCGGATCTCCGAACTAGAAGCACACAGCCGCAAATGCCCACGGCTCTCCCTCTCCGTCCTCTCCACACCACCACTCTCATCGCGCAAACACTTGACATCCTTTTCATCCTCGCAAATGAAGACACCCCGCATAGGCTGCACTGGCTTCACTTCCACCCCCTCCCACAGCACACCCGATCTTCCAGGTCAACCTTCCCCATTGTCTTCCAGCGTCGTTCAGCCACGCACGAAGTCACACGCGCAACGAACACCGCCTCGAGGGCTCGGCTCGCCAATGCAGCTGAGTAGTCCTCCAGCTACGGTCATTCGCCGTGAAGGCGATAGGGAAACAAGCATGGGCCCAAGAGCCCAGCTCGGCATGGATGTGGATGGCATGTCGCCGTCACAGCGAGGTGACGCGGTCGATGGGCTATTGAAACTCATGAGTACGGCCGGCAATCAAAGTTCGGACTCGTGGACTGGTTGATTCGGCTGCATTGTCTTTTTCCCTTCCGTGTTGATATTCTTTTCAGGTTATTGCTTACTGTCGGGAGCATGTCTGAGTGAATTAAGTCGCATTGCATTGCAGGATGTACAGGGCCCGAACGACGATTATATCAAGATACCGTTGATACACTTCAAGTGTTGGTCCTAACATGGCAGCGGATTGTCCCCATTTTGGAAGCATGCAGCATTAGAATAATTCGTCTATACGTTGCGATCAATGATACCATTTGTGCATTTGAACAGTTATCAGTTCTCGTCATAAGACCAGTATGCAAAGTGGAGACCAATAGCATTGCCGCCTTCCCAGCCGAATACTTAAGACTGCCACATGGTGCCTCACCCACACGTGCTGTAGTACTTCTCGTACATTATCACAAGACCTTGAATGTTGCACTTCAGGTTCAATCCTAGAAAGAAGATCGCTAAATATATCAATTGATTCAAGGTAGATAGCATCTATCTAATAGGACGTCCCTCAGCGAACCTTCTTCAACTTGTTACGCTTCCGTCCAAGGATATCACGACCCTCATCAATCTCACCCGCAGCCTCACGCTTCGCGGAGCCAACCTCCTTAAGCAAACCGGTTCTAACAACACGGCTCTCAATATTGACACCTTCCTGCGCGAACTCCTCCATCTGCCTACCAACCCGCTCCTCAATGGCAAGAACGAGCTCAACATCACGCTGTCCGACAAGAGTGGTAGCCTCACCACTCCGGCCCGCACGTGCAGTACGACCAACACGGTGCACATAATCATCCGGGTTCCGCGGCACTTCGTAATTGATAACCAGCTCTACGGACGGGATATCGAGACCACGCGAAGCAACGTCCGTAGCAACCAAGACACGGGCAGCAGTGGCTCGGAAACGAGCTAGATTAGCCGTGCGCTCGGATTGCGGGAGGATACTGTGGAGGGAGGTGATGCGGTGGCCGAGGCGGCGGAGAGTGCGTTCTAGCAGATCGCATGTTTTGGTATGGTTGCAGAAGACGATGACTGGCTTAGTGACGTTTACTTCGGTGGAGAGCAGCGCATGTAGGAAGGCCTCGCGGTGCGTCATTGGAACCTTCAGGTATGTCTGCTTCAGGGTTGGCGGGATCTTGCCTTGGTTTTCGGTGCCGATCTCGGTCATGAAGATCGGTGGCTTGTTGCCTGCCGCTGGCATGGACTTCAATGCCCGCACTTCGGCGGTCATGGTGGCTGTGAATAGCAGTGTTTGACGCTCCGCGGATGGTGGAAGCGCTCCGAGACATGTTTCCACATCTGGTAGCATGCTTCCTGGCCCACTGGCTAGCAGTCGATCGGCTTCATCGAGAACAACCATTTTGACGCGGCGGAGACCGGCCACTGTGTCTTCTCCTGACGTCTTGATGTGGTCGGCTAGTCGGCCGGGTGTTGCGATGACCACATGCGGCCGGTTCGCAAGTTCAATAGCCTGCTGGCGCATATCCATGCCTCCGACGACAAGGATAGGCTTCATATTTTGAGGTGCGGAAACGGCTCTGAATTGTTCGTAGATCTGGAGCGCAAGCTCACTAGACAGAGAAAGGAATGTCAGTCAGCAAAGACGAAGGATACAACGTCTCATATGAACATACCGAGTTGGGGTCAAAACCAAAGCGTAGATCCCGAATGGATTCCGCGCCCACTGCTGCATAATCGGAACCGCAAAGGCCATAGTCTTTCCGGAACCAGTGCGACTTCCACCAATACAGTCTTTTCCTTTCAGGATCTCAGGAATACAAGCCTTCTGAATAGCAGTTGGCCGTTTGATCGCCATTGTGGTCAACGAAGAGACAAGCCAAGGCGCGACGTCCAATTCTGCAAAAGTGGACAGCCCACTCTGTTTACCAAGCTCAATTGCATCGCTAATAAGAACCGGTTCCTCTTCCTTCGGTTCACGCTCCTCCTCTACCTCGCCCTTCTTCTTGATACGAGAGAGGGTGGGGAGCAGCGCGGGTGCGACGTATGAATCGTTGGAAGACTCTGAGAGACGGCGGCGCTTGGGGGCTCGGTCATTGACATCAGGTTGTTCCACATCGGAATTGTCGGATATATCGGAGTCCTCGAACTCTGGATTCTCTGTGATCGGGGGCGCCATTTGTTTTGCGATTGTCTATGAGGATGAAATAATTTTGTGGCAGAAAAAGTTATCTCCAACAAGCGGTGGGAGATCATGGGCCTGGTTTATCAGGCACTAAATTTGTAACGTAACGTAACGTAACGTATTTCACCACCGAGTGGCCACCCCAAAACACCATAGTAAATGCGATAAATTACAACTTGATATCTCAACAAAGGTACTCTATATGGAAATTTCCTAACAGCTTAATGCTTTTTAGGTGATATCTAGCCTCTTTGAGGACTTTGGAAAATCTATCCGACTTTGTAATTGAGATATATATATTTCTAGCTTTAAGCAACGTAATTTTCAATAACATGATAATGCAGCTTTTCGATTTTCTTAAAACTGATATATATATAGTGTTTAAAAATCTTATCGATAGCTATTGAATGACAATGAGATCAAAAATCAACGTGATTGCTGAGATACAAGGTTGTAAAATATCGCATTTACTATGGTGTTTTGGGGTGGCCACCACTACAAACGTCAATTAATTTAAACCCTTCTTCTTTAACCACCCACCATGCCACCAATTCGCTCTCAAAGCTCTAGAAATTCAATAGAGAAAGAGGGTAGGATCTTATTAGCTATCCAGGCTTTTAGAAATGGAGAGATCTCTTCAATTCGCGAAGTGGCGCGCCGTTTTGACATACCCCGTTCAACCCTTTCTACCCGTCTTACCGGTATACAAAACCGCGCGATTTATCGCGCAAATTCGCATAAATTGACAGAGACTAAAGAGGAATCTCTTTAAAAATGGATTCCTTCGATAGATTCCCGCGGATTAGCTCCCCAGCCCTCTACCGTACGAGAAATGGCGAATCTTTCTCCTTAAAAAGCGCGGAACTACCCCGGTTCTTTCGGTCGGCTAAATTGGGTTACGAAGTTCGTTAAAAGGCGTCCTCTCCTCTCCTCCCGAGTCTCGAAACGATATAATTATGAGCGTGCGAAATACGAAGACCCAAAAATCATTAGGGAGTGGTTTAATCTAGTTAAAAACACTAGCTATAATTTAGGATCGACCCCGATAACGTTTATTAACTTCGATAAGACCGGCTGCGCGATAGGTTTAACGGCAACCACGAAGGTTATAACGAGAAGTGTTACTATAGTCGGCGAGCACTTTTATAACCTAGAAATCGCGAGTAGGTGATCGCGATTAAGTACGAACGCTTCCGGGTAGGCCCTCCCTCCGTGCGTGATTTTAAAGGTAAATGTTATAGACATGCTAGTTATCAATCGATGGTGACCCCACATGTTGCACGGACGGGCCGTCGAGAGCCAATCCGCCTACCCTCGAACACGTGCACTAACTGCATTGAGAAACTGCCTATTCAGGTACCACTAATCACGTGACCGTGACTCCTACTCCGGTATCGACCCCCGGAGTATATAACAAAGTATATAGTGACTCCCAGGTATACCCCTAGAGTAGATCTAGGAGTAGGAGAAATTAGGGATGTATAAGGACACTTATACATATATCTAGCTTAGTTCTTCGTCTTTAATCCTACATTATTACTTGTATTTACCTTTAGATTACTGTGGCTTCTTACTTGATTATAACCTAACAAAACCTATTCAATTATTAATTAACTAATACTCCGGTACAGATCAATTAAGCGCTCTACCTAGCACCGTTCCTCGATACCCTCGAAAGGACCTAATCTGTAGTAAGGCTGTAAAGAAATACTAGTTGCCAGGCTTCCTGTCGGTCAGGCGAGTTGAACAGTTGGGGGGGGGGAGCGTATGGTATTCTTCTTGCAGAGACTAATTCTTGCTAAGTCCAAGTTTCAAGGGGAGGCTCTTCTGTACCTCTTCGTCCCTGAATCGTGCTCGTCACGATGATGCATCTAGCTATCCTCCGAGTCCTCTTTTGGCACATGTAGTGCTCAGCATGATCACATAGCATATCCCTGGAGAGGACCGCCAAGAACCTGGGACAAAGAAGCTAAATATACATCAAGGTCCTGGAATCCATTTCCATAACGCTTTCCTTTACACAAGGTAAGGCGCTGTTGGTAATACCTGGGTCGGGCGACGCCATTTCGTGGCCAGAGGGTGTACCATATCATACAGTGACATCTCATATAAGTCTTAACACCACAGCCGGGACCCACAATCACACCGCCTACATCATGGCTCTACCGCCTACCTAATTGTTCACCAAGTCATGGTACAAGGGGCCAAAACCATCCGTATCACCGCTTGAAAATCTATTCTGAGATAGGGGGTAAATCTTCAAGTCAGTAAGCAAGTTTCCGGCATGATAGTTACGCCGTAATAGCTACATGGTTAATCTTTGGAGGGGGGGGGGTTTTGACTAGCAGAATATTATGCAATAAAGAGGTGTGGACCTGGTGTTGTTAAACTTATGAGGTGTCACTGTATGTGCCGTTCTATGTCTAACAAATCTACAGGATAATTACTGTAATGTCCGACAGTGGGGCCTCTCACCCGAAGGATCACTGAGCCTGATCATTGGTCGAAATATTTCTTTGTCTCGTCGTCGGGGTGATCCAAAGGATTAGGTCCTGCACGTGCTTTGTAGGCTGACCTGTTGACACCGAGTTTCCTGATGCTGAGGGACGAACTAACAACAGCAACATACGACACTACGTGTGAGTACCTCATTCTCTTTCTGCCTGATGCTGAGCATCCGTCATCATCATCTGCCCGGGATTTGAATTCAGTCTTCAGCTGCTCTGCTGCAGCCACCATTGGGCTATGGCGCCGGCTATGTCACGCAAAAATCGAGTGTGGTCTCGGAGAGAAATCGCGGAATTGATAGCGGATGGGCAAAAGATAATCATATTGGGTGATCAGGTACTGAAGGCCGACGCGTGGCTACCATATCACCCAGGCGGTGATAAAGCAATATTGCACATGGTCGGTCGGGATGCGACGGACGAAGTAACAGCATTGCACTCAAAGGAAGCACAGGCACATATGCAGAAGTATGTGATAGGAAGAGTACACGGAAGATGGGAAAATTTCTTGCCTCCGATACAGGGAGGAACATTCAGAAGGCTGGTATCAAAGCAGGTCGACGACGAAGCGCTATATGCCGAAGAAGATGTCAGCTCATCTGGAAAATCGACACCACCACCACCAGTCTTCGATACTGAAGAGACAGGAGACGAAGTTCGTCTGAGGCGTGCAGGCAATGATACGCCTATTTCTCGAGCTTCATCCTTATTCTCATCAGAGCCGGAGCTGGGGCAATTCAGATCTGCGGAAGCATCAACAGCCCACGCGATATCATCAGATCTTTCAAAATATCCTCCTCTTGATAAGAGGTCACAAGACGAGGTCGTCTCAAAGTACCGCCAGCTCGATGAAAAATTGCAATCCGAAGGACTCTACGAGTGCCCATATGGCTCCTACGCTGTCGAATTTGTCCGATACTCGATTCTTTTCGTTCTCTTCTTGACATTTCTTCACTATTCCTATTATGCTCTTTCGAGCCTTTTCCTTGGGTTACTCTGGCACCTGCTTGCATTCACCGTTCACGACGCCGGTCACATAAGCATAACCCATGGATTCCACACGGACAGCTGCATCGGGATTTTCATTGCAGACTTCCTTGGTGGTCTTTCAATCGGTTGGTGGAAGCGGAATCACAACGTGCATCACATAGCAACCAACTCGCCCGAGCACGATCCGGACATCCAGCATATGCCCTTTTTCGCCATCTCTTCTCGATTCTTTACTTCCCTGCGCTCGAGCTACTACGACCGGGATATGAACCTCGACGCTGCAGCACGGTTTTTTATTAAGTACCAGCATTACCTCTACTATCCCATACTTTTATGGGGTCGTTTCAACCTGTACCGCCTAGCATGGTCATACCTACTAGATCCGGCGCAAGCGCCCCGTAAAGGCGCAGCGTGGTGGCATCGCTACCTTGAAATGGCCGGCCAGGTTTTTTTTTGGTACTGGTTCGGCTACCGGACGCTATACCTCTCGATCCCGACGTGGTCGTCCCGCATCACGTTTCTGCTCATCTCGCATATGGTCACCGCCCCGTTGCACGTACAACTCACGCTCAGTCACTTCGCCATGTCGAGCGCCGATATGGGCATTCACGAGTCGTTTGCTCAGAAGATGGTGCGGACGACGATGGACGTCGATTGCCCGCCCTGGTTGGACTTTGTGCATGGCGGTCTCAATTTCCAAGTCGTGCACCATTTGTTCCCTCGCCTCCCGAGACATAACTTGCGCCAGGCACAGCCGTACGTGAAGGAGTTCTGCCGCGACGTCGGAATTCCGTACGTAATATTTGGTTTTACGCGGGGGAACAAGGAAGTCATTTGCAGACTGGGCGAGGTCGCCGGACAATTGAGGGTGTTGGAGGAATGCAGAAAAGTTGCTGCGAAGGATTTGATTGAGGGTCGCCACGGTCATTGATTGGTCTTCTTTCTTTTCCCTTTTCTTTCTTTTAGATTTTTTTTTCTTTTTTTCCTTTCTTCTCATAGATGTAGTTGTCAATGTTTACATTTTTTTAAGGTCAGAAATGTGTATTTTCCTCACTCTGATTGGCTGCTGAATTCACTGTTGGCCAGGAAATTTGTTCTGATTGGCTGACGGGGTGCGACTTGCCCACTCCGATGGCCGGTTTATGCCACTTACGCACCCAATCAAATTCTAGAGTTCTACCTACCAGTGCGGACTTCTACCCTTTGAATTTATTATTATGAATACTGTCTAGCCTTATTTACTGATTTAATTCTTATCTAAGTAGCATTAATAGTAATAATAGTAGCACTCTTATGACAATATAGCTATAGTAGGTAAGCCTGGACTGTTGCCGAGGGTCCCTGAGTGTAAGCACGGCGGCTTTGTCCCTCGCCATAATCACGATCTTGCGATATCTAACCTTTGGTAGCGACCTCAAGGCCATTGTCGCCAGTATCCCCGAACATGGGTTCTGTTCTTCTCTTATCCCAAGTGTGGTACTGGAAATGTTAACCCTCGGTTCGCTTTGTACTGACACTAGATCTAGGTGGCCCTACGGGCCGCTCTAGAGGTAGCACTATAGATCCTATGACCCTACTTTTTAGTACCTACCCTCCATACTTATTCTTAGTACCTATTATTATAGATAGATTCTACCTACTACCAATACTGGAGAATACAAAGGCTAAACTTCAATTGTGAATAGCAAAACCTTACACAGGTAGCGCTAATAAACATACATACAATAAATACAAAAGGAAAGGGGAAATAAAAGGACCAAAAACGCCTCGCGCCTAATGGCGCAGGTAATTTGGCCGACTCCAAACGGGAAAATCGGGCAACCAATCAATAAGTCAGAATAACCACCAGGTACCCAAGTGACAGTCTCTGGGATTTGCATTTCGATGATTCCGCCGATCCCTACCACACTGTTACGTGCCCAGCTGCTTACGGCGATACGGACGGCCGCGGCCACGTCCGCCTGTGTTGCTGATGTTCCAGCAGCAATTGTCTGTGTTCGTTTCTCCCACGATGCAAGTGCAAATGGGTCAAGAGCTTCGTGGCTCTCCATAGGTACATCTTTCAGTACGTAGTCTGCTTGCTCATCTAGTCCTCCAAGGTTTGAAGTATCGTGTGTTCGCTCTCTTCGTCTTTCGCTTTTGCCTTGACCGTGAGCATCCTCATACGGTGTCAAATCTATAACGCGCGCCACATCCAGAAGTGCTCTTTTTCTTTCTTTCTTTTTTTTTTTCACTGACTTCAGTTACTCCGAGTCTCATAACGCCTCAATCTCCTTTGCCAGTTTCAAAATCTCCTCGATGAGAGGATTCACATCAGCACTTTTTACCGGCACCCGATGCGCGCCATTCCACTCCAAAACCCGAACGCTGTCGACGCTACAATAGTTCTCGAGGAGCTCACGGTGTAGGTGAAGACCTGGATCTGCCAACCCATGGACATGTATGGTGGGTAGTTTGAGGACGTGTTCCTCTCCCATGATATCCCCTAACTCCGTACGCCCCGACAAACCAATCTGAGTTGCTCAGCATAGAAGACTTGAAAGAATCCGGATCAAGGTTCACTGTCGGTACTCGTCCGGCCATCAGCACAGCGAACTTCCAGCCAGACCCAGCTTTCGCCCGCCCCAGTTTCTCGACTGGGACTTGTTGTCGGAAAATCTAGCTTGCAGCCAGCTTCGCGCCTTGACTGAAACCCAGCAATCCCGCCCATGGACCCGTTGCACCCGATCTGTCTTCCCCTACCATGGCGGTCTTTATCGAATTGTTGATAGCTTCAATTGCCGCTCTATCCTCGACCTCGTGCTCCGGGAGCCGTCGATTGAACGGGCCATAGTCAGCGTAAACCGAAGGACGTCCGGCCCCGGCATCGAATCTAATGGCGCTTCAGCATAGGCAAATCGCAAGTATGGCTCTAGCATGCGCGAGACCACACGGCATTGCGTCTTGAAAATGTGTGCGTTGCTTCCGCCACCGTGTAAGCAGAGAATACGTGGGAGGTGAAGCTTATTCTTGTGGTATTCCTGGCGTCCATGTGCACGTGTTACACTTTCCAAATAGCGCAACCGCGCTAGTATTTATCATATAACTTGGAAGCCTTTGCATCCGTCGATTTGGCCGGAAGGCGTCGTACGGCATAAAGGTCGACTTTTCTCTAAGTAGAAGGAACGAACAGAAAAGTGAAGACTAAATCTAGTACTTCAATACAACTACGTTTCCTAATGACGGATCCTGGCTTCCGTGCCACAAAGAGGTGTCTATCTTATTGCTAGAGGAAGCGGTAAACCACTGGGTGTTCAGGTGGCAGTGACAGAGTAGTACAGATTTAGACGCAGGTGCCAGAGGCGGCCTGTCTGAAGCGCGGAGATCGGGACGCCTATCGGGATGCCTATGAGGTCGCCGACGCCCTCCGGCAGCACTGGCACAGGAAATGCTCAACAAGCTTCCTGCTCTGTGACCCTTCCCAGCGCCAGCGAAAATCAAGGAGGACCCTGGTCCGGCGGCCGAGAACCAAAAAAAAGACCTACAATGCTTCTCCTCACGTACGAACCCCAACACCGCGACTACACCCGGTCTATCATCCCCTGGGGACGCCATCTCCGGTCCGCAGGCCGATCTCTGAGTTTGTTCACTTGTGGCAGGTCCCCTCGTCGACAGGTCAATCGCCTTGGGGTGGTGACGATCTGACACCAGACGGCGCGTCTACGCTCTCCTTCCCCAATGACGATGACTGTCACCAGGTTTTTCCTGGCTCCTCGGCCCCGCTCGTCGTCTAGACGAGCCCGTGATAGAACGACGGCCTCCGATGGATGTGTGCTGTCAATCTGGATGCGCGTGGCTGACCCAAAGCCATCGAAGGACCCTGTCGGCCGTTCCTCTAACGCACACTCGCGCCTACTTGCGATCATGGATCCGCATCTGCCCCCCATGGAAGGGCGGAGGCATAGAAGACGAAGTGAACACTTTCGGTTGATATCAACCGTATGTGAAATCACACCTCTAGAGATCTTGTTCATCCCGCCGAATCGTGACATGTTAGCAATGGAGGATGGGTCCCCTGGAAGTGATAGGATGTGATGATCAGGGAAGCCTAACTGACTGTGTTAGCCATAGCGAAGCTGATAGCAGAGACCTTGGTTCTTGTCCACGACTTCGCTCAGCCTATGCGGTGGCGTGTTTCATGCAAAAAGTGAAAAGCAAATCTTATGTATTAAGGCGGGGAAGCTGATCTCGAGTTCTACTATATCTACATAGCCATCACTTCTGAATGCACCATCAGATTTCAGCCTTCAATACGTCACGGTGGCGAATCATCTGGCCCATCAAAACGCATTCTATTTGCACCTCCCACTCACGCGTTCGCTGAAGACTGTATCGATAAGTAATTGGGATAAATTAGAAGGCTTTCGGCAAGGTCAGCCACTTTCGTAAACGCCGCCGTCTTCTGTCCATTCTTGACTACCTATAACCCCGAGAACTGCGGCCGTGTGATAGGCAAGGGAGTCACCAGCAGGTGGTGCACTTGTTAATAGTTGTAGTGCTGTACACCGCTTAGTCGGGATGAGTTAGGGCGTACCCTATCATCTGTCTATTCATCCATATATGTTCAAGCTGACCGCGACTTCCGCCAATGGTACAATGCCCGATCCTCTCCACACTCCTGATAGTAGTTCCTATATATAGCAATATATCTGAGCTTGACATTGTCCTAATATTCGCCTAGGGATGTTCGAATCCGCCTGCTGGATCGGATGGAAGCTGCAACGTTAGGGTCGTGTCGCCCGTTCCGGAGTCCCTAATACCCAAGCAGTCACGATCATGATTTTAGGGGCGTTATATGAGCCGTACGATGACTACTAGAACAGTAGTTAGATTGGCTTGCAATCGCTCGAGTTGATGATATATCGATATATCGGCCCTAATGGACCAGTGAGGATAGGATTTAGTCAATGAAATGCTTTCCGTGATGAAGACATGCGACCAATCGACTAGGGAGACCACGCAACGTTGATTACCAGCCTCTAAATACGGTTTGCACCTATTGTTTGTGTAACCTTTCCATGCTCTGGATTTTGTCCCGTCGTTCATCAGCCGGGGTTAGGGCAAACAAGTGCGTCTATGGGCCTAGGTTTATGTGGAATAAGAGAAAGGACGTTCAATACCGCGTCCTGCTAGCGTAATACGAAATAGAGCCGAGTGTACGATGTTTGTTCTATTCTGCTCACCTTTCGCTATCCGCATACAACGGTGAGATAGGCGTTATAATTGGGACATTCTAGAAATAAGCTCGTCTTAGCTTCGGGATTCTTCACCCGCTTTGCTATTAGATATAAGATAACTAGGTTTAGGCCGATAATTAATTTATCCGCTACACAAACCGTGTAATCGGTCTCGCATGTTTCCACCGTACCGTGAGCTAAAAACGCGTCGAACGCGTCCGACGGAGTTACGAGACTGCAGATCGCGGAAAGAAATGAGGTGTCCAGTGCCGCCGCTCTCCTACCTGATCTGCCCACTTTTGCTCTACTCAATTAAAGCAGCAGACGGCAAGTAGGCTGTAAGAAACGGCAGCAAGTGAGGCCGTTCTTGGCTGTCGATTGATTTGCCGGTGTTTGGCCACGGAATCCTGAACTAATAAAATAAACTACAAAGTGGATATCTGTCAAAAAAGGGTAGCAATAATGTTCAGGCTTCCAGAAAGACATGGCGGCAGCACGCAGCAAGATCCTCAGCCGTGAATGTGATATTTCTTTCCCTTGTGTTAGGGGCCGGGCGGCGGCGCATGACGGATTCGAAATCTAGTTCCAGCGGAGCGTTCTCAACATCGCTTGAGGTAATAACGATCTCATTGACCGCTGAATGACGTAGCACTATTGGGGAGTCTGTCTGAGATAGCAGGGTGCGCTGGGCCTCCGCCTGTAGTCCACGGGTGATTCTAGGGGTGGTTGGTCTGAGACTGTAGTGTTTTATGGTGACTCTGCGCTCGGGCGATCTTTGGACGTGAAATAGTATAACCATGTTGACTTTGTAGTCGGAATTTGAGAACCACCAATATGCGTCGGCTCGTAGTTGTGCTTCTGATTCAGAAAGACCAGTTTCAATAACGAGCGAAGGCCAGTTATCATCGTCAGAAGGATTCCCTGACGGAGTAAGAGACTCGTCGGCTTCTTTATCGCATGTTCTTCCGTGGTATCGGGTAGCCGTGTTCATAGTGTAGTCGTCCGGATCAATCCCCATATTGAGTAACTTCGCGACGAGTTTGTTTGAAAATGACCGCGTGACTCGCTCATGAGCTCCTGATGGCATTATTCGAATGACCCCTTGCTGGTGCTGTGTGTCGAGTGTCAATCTGTAAGGCACTTCAAGGGGGTTTCGATCTCCAGCTATTAGCTCCTGCACTTGTCGGGATATGTTTAACACGATGATAAACTGGTTCGAGTAAGACGTGTCGGAGTTGATTTGATGATAGACATCGTTTGCAGTCTCTCGAAGGGTAGAAATGGAAGGGGCAGACAACACCGAAGCACCCGGGATTTCGAATGGCAGGTGCGAAACCTCGACCTTGACCTGCGAGGTTCGAGGCGCAACATCTGACTCGGTCCTATCGAGGGACTTCGCCGATTCGACGTCCTTTGCAGCTAAGGAGGAGGAAACTGTGGATAATGGCGGAGACAGCATATTGGCTAAACAGTGGTGGATAGCGAAAGGAAGATGAGGCAGAAGAAGAGAAGTGAGAAGGCTATTAACGAAGGGGGACTAGTAGTAGTATAGTATTAATGGAGGGGAAGGTACGTTATCGATAAGAGTGACGGCAAAATTAAAATTACCGAATTATATCATGTGACGCAAGTCTACTGTTGCCCTGCTTGCCGTTGTGTAGAATACCTCTTATTTCATATCCGTCGATTCCCGCGCATTCTTCCTATTCTGGGATCCCAAGCATGGATTCACTCATCAAGAAGCGAGATGCCGATTTTGCCACTCTTGCTACTGTTTTACCCGGACTCAAAACCGCGTTAAATCTGCAAGGCCATACCTCCAGCGATACATGGAAAAGCCTCACATCTATCTTCCCTGACATCGGGAAAATCGTTAAAACATTTGAGAACATCTACGGAGAACAAGATTTCAACCGCATAGATCCTTGGCTCGAGCAAATTAAAGAGAATATACGCTAGTATAAGCAGCAGCTCGAAGAACTTTCTAACCAAGGGATTGATATGAAAGCTTTGTCTATTCAGGACCTTCAATCAGACAAGAAGGAGATCTTGGAGAAAATGACCGCGAACGATCCTCGATTCAAAATGACGCCCAATTTGTTTGGACCGAACTGGCAATCTCAGACCGATGCAATCGTCAGACTATCCGGCCTCGGTCCGCTGTCCGTAGACAAACAGATACCTTTGAAGGACTTCAAGCCGCGCGTATGAAATGTGGAAAACTCATAACATAAAATGCTATCTTACTCGCTAAAAAATAAGGAATTACGCGCCGCTAACGAGAAGCAGAAGCAAAAGCGTACTAGATCACGAAGGCAGATACCTGCCGAGGAGGGCCTCTCGGTTTAAGAAGCATCTGTACTAATTACTGAGCCGGTGGAAGTAATGGAAGCACCTATACCCCCGCCACGAAGAAGGGCTTTTTCAACATGCGGGCTATGTAAAAATCAGGGTCATAGGAGAGATGCGTGTCCAAATAGATGATGAGTTTAGTTTATTTAATTTAATGGCGTTTTGGTTGAGATAAATGCATTTGAATCCGATAGATGGGGGTAGGGTGGTGGCTCGCTTACAATGGCGGCTCGCTTACCGGTTACGTTATGTAGTTATGGTTGTTCATTGAATGGTGTATAATGATGGTGAAAACGACAAAACAGAATAGAATCAAGGCAACTTTTCGTTGAAGTACAGGCTATCATAGCACCATTAGTCCACCCCGCTAACCGTGCTCCTTCTGCGCGAAACCCGGGAGGCGAGCTCATATGCCTCACCTCGCTCTAGATCATCATCTTCGACTGCAGATTCCGGAGAAGTTGAAGTTCGGTTTCTCAAGACCCCAACACCTCCACCGGGATACTCGTCCCGGGCGCCGCTAGCCACAGCTTCATTGTAGTCCTCTATCCCGTGGCTGCCACCGAC